AGCAAAAAGCTTGCTGACAATCATGGGATTTAAAGTAGAACAGTGGGGGAGGTGTTTTCTACAACAAATGCTGACGGTGCTGTGGAGAAATTCAAACCCTGCATAGATGTACTTGAACCGAACCATGCTTGGATAATGACAAGTGAAATATAATAAATAAAAACTACTAAAAACAAAATTTTACATTGTTACCGAAAGGCTTGAACAAGAGGAACTGATCTACCAGGCGAAATGACTGAGAGAAATGAAAACACTGAATTTCGAATGCAGCTCAACGAAAATGCGTAGGTTGAAAGTTATGAAATCACTTGCGCACAGAAATAATGAAACAAATAATAGGCATTCATAATCATCAAGCAGGCATGTTAGTTAGTATGAAAATGTCAAAATTTCAAAAACGGTTTTTAATTAGGACACAAAAAGCTCACGTCACAGTCAGTTTTTGTCTCAAATATCCATCCAGGGTATAGTAAAATGATTAGTGAGGTGTACCTGTTTAATAAGATAAGATAAACTAGTGCTCCAAAATAGTACATTCGGTACTTGCATTTTTATATAAACAATTGACACGGTAAAAATATTAAAACAATGATCAAATGCAGTAAAATATAATAATTACAATATAAAAGAGATATCAAACAACAAAAAAACATTACAACAGTCATTAAAGCACAGAAACAACAAAAACAAGGGGTAAACTAAGATATTTTTTTCCTTTTAAACAGTCAATAAATCACGGGAGTGTTGGCTAACTTGATGAACGCAGTGCCGTGCGTAACCATGGCATAGTCGGTTTTCTGTTTGACATCTCTTTGTGTACAGACAATTTGTTAATAAAATATGCAGCACATTGTCAAGAGTCAGGCTTCTTATTAGTAGGCCTACTGTGAAAGCATTATGCATCACATTACACGTGAAGTAGCCTATTATAAAAGTGCATGTATACCAACAAGTGGTCCCTAAAATTCTTGTGTTGTCCGACCGTAAAAAACACTTGTCCCGGGCGTTGGGCAAGTGGGTTCACTTATGCCTGGTTTGTATTCAACATCACTGGGACTACCACGTCACTTTGACTTGCACTTCAAGAGTCTATGTCACTTAATAACTATATCGATTAAACCTGGAGGTTACTCTGATAATACTTGCAATTTGGGGAAAGAAAGTAGTGTTTTTCCCTGCATTGTTGTGTTAAAACCCTTTTTACAAGTAAGGTCACACATGGATACCCAGAGTGATCCCCACCCCATGGGAGCTGGTTTGATTGCCATGTAAAATTTGTACTAAACACTAACATCTTTTGATTTTAGACTTTCTGATACTGGCATGCAAAACCATCAAGGCAATTCTGCTTTCTATATCATGAATGCAATGTTCAACCAGGGTTCCTACACAAGATTTGCCTTTCAGAGAAATGCTGATGGGTATCAAGGCAGTTTTCCTTATCTTGTGCGTCGTGGAGCAAATATCATTACCGGTAACTACACGACTGCGATAATCAACCAGGGTTCGAACATAGAAGCTGTGGTAGGTTCAAAATAGAATTATAACTTTCTGAGTTTTCAAATTTATTTATTTTTTTTTTACATGTTTTATACTGAATCTTGTACGCTATCATGAATAAAACTAATAACTGGTTTTGTTGCCTCTTCAGAGAAATGGTGATGGCAATCGAGGCAGTTTTCCTTATCTGAGTAGTGCAGATATAAACCGTATGACTGTAGGATTAAACCAGAGTATCAACACAGAACCTGTGGTAAGTTCCAAATAGAATTATAACTTTCTAGCTTTTCAAATTTAATACCTTTTTTTTTACATGTTTTTTATTGAATCTCGTACGCTATCATGATTAAAACTAAAAACTGGTTAGTTAAAAAAGATAGATTTTGCTAAATATTGTTATTAAACTAATAACTGGTTTTGTTTCCTCTGCAGAGAAATGCTTATAGCTATCAAGGCAGTTTTCGAAATATTGTGTGTCGTGTAGGAAGAATCTTTAACTATATGACTGCAATATTCAACCAGGGTTCTAACATAGAAGCTGCGGTAGGTTAACAATTTTTGAGTTTTCGAATTTAATTTGTTTTTTTTTTTCTTTTTTTGTTTACAGGCTTCATTCTTGCATCTCATATGCTATAATGATCATAAGGCCCAAAACAAAAATGTTATGTTGGCGTAACCCGACCGACTAAAAAAAAATCAGCCGACTCTAGATATTATAATAAATTTCACTATAAAAGTTTAAGTGAGCAAAATTGGCGTGGTTGTACGTCAATCAAAATGTTTCAGAAATAGTTCAAGGGTGAAAAAAATGACAATTATGGGCTTTAAAGGCTTGTTTAGTTGAGTTTATAGATTTTGCTAAACATTGTGGCAGTGTAAAAAAAAAAAAAAATCCCTACCTACAGTATCTATGCCAACATAACATTTTTTTTTCAGGCGTACAGTAACTAATAATTGTTTGTGTTGCAATCCTCAGAGAGATCGTGTTGGTCACCGAGATAGTTTGAATGTCACCATGGGTATCATCGCCATCGGTATCTTTGTCTTTGGCGGCATCTTCGTCTTTGGCGGCATCTTCGTCTTTGGCGGCATTATCGTCACCGGAGATACCATCATCAATATCGATGTCACCAATATCATAATCAATAATTAAGAGAAATTTAGCAGTAAATGACTAATTGCTAAACATGTCAAGCAAAATTGCAAACAAGATTGAAGTTAACATATCTTATTAAAGAATCGTTAAACAGCATTTGGGTTTGCCTTCTTTTTCTTTCAGTAAATAGAGTATACCTATGGGCTTTTGGGGGGAGGGGATCACACTAATAAAAAGCACTCTTAACAGAGCCGTGACATTATGGTCCAGCAGAAGACACCCAAAACTAGGAAATTACAATTATGTAACCCAAGAATGTCCTACTCACATGACAACACCTCTTTTATACAACATAATGAGTTACTAAAATAAAGGGCTTCTGGAATTCTGAGATTTTGAATAACAATATATAAACTAGAATTACTCCTTTTACGCTACTCATAATAAGTTTATTATCAGAACTGAGCTTATTCCTGTCATCAAGCTGTCATGCACAACAGTATGAAGGCGATCTGACTGCATCATAGCCAAGAACACGTTTGCACATGACCCCACAGAAGAAAAAAAAAACCCCAATAGTGGCCAGAGTTTCGGAGGCGCGACCTGTTGTTTAACAACCAACCAACCAGCAAGTGGCATCGTGACTACAAAGAATGTCTTGTCTTTAGAACTAGATCCTTCAATGTCGCAAAATGTACAACACTCCATTTTGGTTCAAAGAATGAAGTTACAATCTATGCAGAACTGTGCTTCCATTATCCAAGAAATAGAAAGACCGAGGTGTTATTTCGCATATGTTATGTATGACACTATTTGGCATTTTTCGTTTTAACTACGCGGCCAGACTATTATGAACCAATAGAGCATAACAGATATCTGCACATGCTCACAAACCTTACTGGCTAAATCGGCATTCTGATAGCTTCCGCGACAACCACAATTTCTGAATTTGGCGTAGTGGCGACTACCCTAATATTGACCAATCACATAACCGGATTCTTTGGCAAACTGCTTTTCATTTTTTTGTTGGGGGTTGCAATTTTCATCGCATCCGCAATCAAGCATTGTTCGTTCAATAATGAATTAATTATTAAAACAAGTGAGTAATTAAGTGTTTTATGAAGGTCTATTTATACACATACAATAAATGAGGAATGAATAGTCACAACATAAAATTAGGTAAATCAGGGGATAGTGAAAAAAGGCCCAAGGGGGCTCTTAGGCTTAGGCCAACTAGGCTAGCCAAGCCTTGTCAGGGTGGATTTCGGGTAGGAGAGAACACATTATTTGGTGCCGCTAGCTAGGGCATCTGCGCCCATGATATCATGGATCAAGCTTTGTTATATAAATACCTGTGTTTAAAATTGTTATGTACATTCATTTGTACATCATCATTGCATTTGGCAAATTGCTTGAGCAGGCCTGACACCCATCTTTTCCCGGTTCCCGACTCTTTTGACACCTAGGCCTAGGCTATAGAGGCTAGGCCTAGAGATCCTAGCCAACAGCGAAACATCAATCAGTGTTTTCTGGAAACTTTTATTTTGTATACAGTATTTGACTAAAGTTTTTTTTTCACATTTCCTTTTTCAAATATAAAACAAGGGAACATTGTTCCTTGGTAATAAAACCATGGTCGACTAACTCCAATCCGTAGGCCTACGTACGTGTGCTGAATCGTCGTAGTCTCCATAAAAAAACGAAAACAGCTCTTGGTGTAGGGGCGTCTATAAAACGAAGACGGAAGACCGAAGACCCCTATATCTTCAATTTTGATGATAATACGCCAGGCTGTCACAAAATCAAAATTACAAATTTTTTTGGGCGTCTGTTTGTGAAATTTTCAAGGGTCTTCATTTTATAGACACCCTATATGGGTGTCTACAAAACAAAAACAGAAGACCCGAAAAACGAAGACCTCCAATTAATTATTTCTCAATTATCTTATTGAAAGTATTTCAAAATCATCATAAAACAGTTGCCAATTTATTTCATTACTTATTATATATATATATATATATACTGTATATATAACCGTATATTTTTGTTTTGTTTTTTTTATGATTATACATACACCCTACAAGTACGAATTCACCAAACACTCAAAAATTTAAAAAAAAAAAAAAAAAAAAAAAAACCTATAAAAAACTATGGGTTGGCTTACAATTGAAAAAAAATTACGTTTTGGAGGGTTGCCACCCGCAAACGAGTTGAGAGCACTGACCAGCTATAGGTGACAAAATAATGTCTAACGTCGGCTTGCGAGGCCTCAGATTGGGCTACCCAAATTGAAATTATAATTGGATGGTGGCGGGTTCGCAAGTCAAGGTAGCAAAAAGTCTCGTCTTGCACTACAAACTTGTATAAACTGTACTATAAATAATAAAAACTAAAATTTACTCACCCATATGCAAAGTGAATCATTCCAATAGCCACAAGCAGTAATGACCTCACAGGGACAGCTTTCAAAGCCATCTGTAAAAAAAAATCAAACAATCACTGATCCCCTCATAACTGACAGCTCTTTTCTCAAGTTGCCTCTTCATACTGTAATTATAGTTAGAGCATGGAGGTATTATTGAGAAGATCACTCGAAAAAGGTACGCGCACGCAGCGCTATGCAAATGAACCACGATTAAAGCTGCCACAGCGCGTGAAGAACGTTTGCGCGATGCCTTTGAAGTCCCATGTGTTCCCCGCCATCAAGTTTTCAGCAGGCATAGTTTACCAAAAAATTGAACATGGCGAAATGGAGAGCACCTTCTTTTCTCGATGCGCACTACATACAGTCAATCACTATGGCTGCGCAATCGTTTCCATTTTGAAGTTGATACATTTATCTCTCATAAAATATCAAACATATTAATATTTTCCACCAAAAAAGTTTCGAATTTAATGGAACATTTACATGACCTTTAAAAGTATAGTATATTTCAACTTCAATTTCCATAAATTGGCCAAAATTCGCTAATTCTAATTTTAACAAATATTAATTAATAAATGATTTAGGATTATAATAAACTAAGTCATTTTAGGGTTAACGAGGGTTAACTATTCGAAAAATCAATCCAAAAATCTGAGTATTTTTCAGTTTTACGCTGACTTAGCTTTATAGTCGAACTAATCAATCTTTAGACAAAATTATAATGAACACAGAAGTAATTTTAACATAAATATTTTACGGAATCCGTTCCTGAAATATACAAATAATAACATACCAAAAGCC